ATATTCAAAACAAGTCAAACATACGTACAGAAATTCATTTCACTATTGGTTATCAAAGTTGTATCTAAAGCTTTAAATAATTCTCTTTTTTGTCAAAAGTCTACACAGGCTAGTTCAGTTAGTTTAGAACTCTGTTGACAAGACAAATTATTTTTCTCTACAGTGTTCCTTGCTGCACAGTCTGTGATAGATTCACATACATTACCTCATAGATTACCAGAGTTGTATCCAGAACTTTAAATAATTGTCTCCTTTTCATCAAAGTCCACACACGTGGGTTCTGTTACTTTAGAACACCTTTTGACAAGACAAATTATTTTCCGTTATCTCTGTTATTGCAATACCACTCTGAAACTTATTTTATATATAGCCCTTTATGGCTAAACTGACAATCACAAAATCTAACTTCATTTTCAGTAACTTAATGTTTTCTGATTTAACTTGCGCTCACCTGGTTGCTTATATATATATATATATTACCCAACTGAGGCCTGGAACTTTCTACAAACTACAAGACACTATTATATAACAGTACTCACAACAAGAGAAATACAGAAGGTTTGATTAATGTGTCATCAAACTATTGTCATAACTATTGCTTTTAAAATAATTAACTTTTAACACTCTTGTTATGAAAACTAAGTAATCATTAAAAATTAAATCACTAAATGAACTAAGTAATAACTGTTACACCAAACAGTCTTGTATATCCAACACTAAGCCCCTCTTTAAGAAAAACATTTACAATATTTTTTTATACTTTATACCAAGACTATTCTCAATTCATACACTAAGTCTCCTCATATAGCCTGCACCAACATTTACGGTTCCTTTGTCGGTCTCTCCTCATGTAGGGCTTCATCTCGACAGGATCCCCTATCTTCATCTTGATCTTGTGTTGCCTAAGATCTGTCTTTCCTAATCTATCTGTATACTGGCACATTAGATCTTGTACTCTTTCTTCTGCTTGCAGTCAGTTTTTTACTGATCTTGACATCTTTGTACGTCTCATCTCTACCCAATGGTCTTAGACTAGTTGGTCTTCATCTTCTACAACAAAGCCACTATCTTCTGGTTCTACTTCTATGACAATCATGCCTGCCATGTCCATCTGTACCTCAGTAGCTATACCCATTATGTCTTCTTCCCTCTTGAAGTACCTGTTCAGCAGATTGACATGGTAGATCTTGGTCTTCCCATTTACTTTCACTTTATAGTACATTCTGTTGATAATTTCCTGCACTTCAAAAGGTCCACTGTAGGGTGAGTTTGTTGTTGACTGTGGGTAGCAGAACTAAGACCTTCTGTCTGATCTTGAAATGTTGATCCTTGGCCTAGTTGTTATAGAAGTGTTTCTGACTGCCTTTGACAGGTTTGGCTTTCCTTGTAGAACTGCTTTGATAGGTCCAGTACAGTACTTCTTTCCAGTTCTCTATTTTGTAAGTCTCTTTCCTCTCTGTCTTGTTCTTGACTTTCTCTTGGGCACTGTCCCAAAGTTTCTGCAGTGACAATTCTTTCTTCTGTGCTCCCTTCAGTTCCTGTGAACCTACATTTGGGATGTCACTTTTTGAGACTTTAATGGGCTTGATATTTTGCCTGCTTTTCTTCCTTTGAGCTCTTGTAGTGACTGCATATGCCTCATTAGTATTCTTTCTGTTTAGTTGCACCAAACTTCCACTATCTGTTATGTTTCTAATCACCAAGTCGTATATTTGTGTCTTCATACATGTGGCTTCAAGGTCTCCCATGAAGTTGGGAGTATCCACCTTTATTTTTGCTGTGGGAAACTTTCTCATTGTCCCATCAATTACACACAGGTGTACCTTGCCTATCATCTGATCACCAGATACTAGACTGGTTTTCACTGCTGCACTACTGTGCCCAGTGTCTTGTAGGTCCTTTGCTTTCTTGTCCCTGACATAGCCTTAAGCTACTGGTATGTTGTGATTTGTTGTCACCTCTCGATGTGTGTCACATGCTCTGATCACTATTGGCACTGTTGGTCCATTTGCTAACTTGATCTGATCATCAGTTGTGTACTGATTAATCATGGTAATAGCACTTCCTTCTTGTGGCAAATCTGATAAGTTGTCTCCATTCTGTTTCTTCTGATAGCTGCATTCATGGTGACAGTCACTCTTTTCTTGTTTCCTACCAGCTCCATCTTTGTAGGTAGCTCCAGCTGCTTTATGTTGAGATTTCTGCTGTTGCTTGTTGGTGATGGACTTGCACTCCTTTGCAGTGTGCCCTATTTTATAACAAATATAGCATATGTTTCTCCCATTTGTCTGTTAACCTCCTGTCACCTTTGGTAGAGTCCTGCTTCTGGTCAGCTACCACTGGTTTTGACTTGAACTGGTTATTTTTTGACTTTCCAGTTATACTTCCTCCATGAGCTTCCATATATTGTTCTGCCAGCTGGATCATCTCGTCCGTATCTTTTGGGACTTTCTTCCTTAGGAACATTGACATGTCAGTTGAGCACATGATCATGAACTGTTCACATATTAGGAGCTCTGCTAGTCCCTCAAAACTATTTACACACTTGACCATGTCAGTCCATCTTGTGAAGTATCGTCATAAATGTGCTACAAACTGAAATACAGGTTTAACTTCTCTGAACTTCCAAATAAAACTTTTTTTTGGCAAGTTCATAGCATTTCAGCAAGGTCACTTTTAACTTGTCATAGTCAATGGCATCTTCTGATGTCATGCCTGTATAGACTTATAGCCCTTTTCCTGTGAGAAGCGTGCTGAGACAGATTGCTTAGTCACCTTTATCCCAGTTCTGACTTTGGGCAAATTTTTCATATAACTTCAGGAAAGCATCCATGTCATCTTTCTGTTCATCATATTTGGGCAGCTTGAGTCGGCTGGCTCGGACCACATTCTCATTCTTGGGTCCTTCATCTTTCTGTTGGGTGAGCTTTGCAATCTCAATTTGTGCTCTTATTCTCTATATTTCTAGTCTCTCCTCTCTCTCCTTTTCTTCTTTGTCAATTTGTGCTTTATTCTCTCTATTTGCAGTCTCTCTTCTCTCTCCGTTTATGTTTCTTCTTTCTCAATTTGTATTCTTATTCTCTCTCTCTCTATTTCCTTTTCTTCTTTGTCAATTTGTGCTTT